AGGTGCTCAACAAGAGAGATGATGCTGTCACATCCAGAAGTAGAACCAGAACAGCTGTAACTCATCACCTAGAAGTCCTTTATGTTAGAAACCCAGCTTAGGTGGTAGAAACCCCCATCCATGTCAGTGCTCCACATCTATGGACTGTAATGCTAGCCAGCAAAGGTAATTTCATACCTGCATTCATATAATATTAGATGGACTTCTAGCCCCAGGATACTTGTCAAACTTCCTTTTGCATCAAATACATTTCCTCTGAGTCATACCAATAGAATCCTTCTAGGCCTGACTGAGCTCATCATGTCTGTGTTAGAATTCACTCCTAGGAAACACTAGTTGAGGTATTAAATCTTAAATATCTTGAAAGAAGGGAAAGTTTTTCATTTAAATGAAACCCATTTGTGGGGCAATTAGGGAAGAAAGAAATAAAAGACATCCATATTGGAAAGGCAGTAGAACTCTCTATTTGCAATGACATGGTCTTGTTTATAGAAAATCCTAAGGAATTTACAAAAACACTATTAGACCTAATTAACATTCAGCAAGGTTGCAAGATGTAAAAAATCAATATAAAAATAAATTGCATTTCTATGAATACTAGCAATGAACAAATACAAAATAAAACTAAGAAAACAATTCTATTCACAATAGCATCAAAAATATACTTAGGAATAAATTTAACAAAAGAAGTGCAAGGCTTGTGTGCTGAAAATTATAAAACATTGCTCAAAGAAATTAAAGACACGAATAAATGGAAAGATATCCATGGATTGGAAGGCTTACTACTGTTAAGATGTTAAGATATCCCCCAAATCGATTTAAAGATTCAATGCAATCCTAGCTGCCTTTTTTTTTTTTTTGCAGAAATTGACAAGTTGATCCTCAAGCTCCTATGGAAATGCAAAAACAATCCAGAAAAGGAAGAACAACGTTGAAGGAGTCACACTTCCTGATTTCAAAGCCTACTATAAAGCTAGGAACCAACACAGTGTGGTACTGCATAGGGGCAGACATACAGATAAACAGAATAGAACTGAGAAGTCAGAAATTAGCTTTTACGTGTATGGTCACCTGATTTTCAAAAAGAGTGACAGACAATTCAATGGGAAAAGAACAGTCTTTCAACTGACAGTGCTGGCACAAGTGAATATCCACATGCAAAAAAATGTAGTTGAACCTCTACTTCCCACTATAGACAGAAGTTGGCCAGAACTGGACCATAGGACAAAATTTAAGGGTTAAAGTATAAAATTTTTGGAAGAAAACCAAGGAATAAGTCTCTGTGACTCCGGATTAGGCAATGGTTCTTAGATATGACACAAAAAGCATAAGCAACAGAAGAAATAAATAGACTTCATCAAAATAAAAAACTTCTGTTGCTTCAAAAGATAGCTGAAGAAATGAAAAGACGAGTTACAGAATGGGAGAGTATAATTACATATCATGTATCTGACAAGGAACTTGTGTCCAAACTCTTAGAACTTCACAATAAAAAGATAAATAATCCAATGAAAAAATAGGACAAAGATCTGAATAGGCATTTTTCCAAAGGAGATATACAAATGGGCTAATAAGTGTATGAAAGATGCTCAACATCTTTAGTCATTAGGGAAAAGCAAACCCAAACCACAAGGAGATGACACTTTACACACACTAGGATGGCTGAAATGAAAACGGCAGACAATAACGAGTGTTGACGAGATGTGGAGAAATCCGCCCAACCTTGCTTGGCTGGTGGTAGAGAATATGGTGCAGCTGCTTAGGAAAACAGTTTGGCAGTTTCTCAAAAGTGAAACGTAAAGTTCCATATGACCCGGCAATTCCACTCCTGAGTATACACCCAGGAGGACTGAAAACATATCCACACAAAAATGTGCATATGAAAGTTCATAGCAGCATCTTTTATTATAGCCAAAGAGTGGAAACAACCAACTATCAACTGATAGGTGGATAAGCAAATATGACATCCCCACATAATGGATTACTACTCAGGCATAAAAAGAAATGAAAGGCTGCAACATAGAAGGAACTTGAGAACATTATGCTAAATGAAGGAAGGCAGACACAAAAGACCACATAGTGTCTGATTTCCTTTATAGGAAATGTCCAGAATAGGCAAATCCATAGAGACAGGAAGCAAATTAATGGCTTCTGGGAGTTTGGGGGAAGCAGGCAATGGGAAATGACTATTAACGGGCACAGAGTTTCTTTTGGGGTGATTAAAAATGATCTTGGATTAGTGGTCATGACTGCACAACTCCGGGAATACACTAAAAAAGGCGGAATTTTGTACTATGTGAAGTAAATATTAGTGAATTATTAAAACAAAAGTTGCTGCCACGGTTTTCTGGGAACTGGAGAAAAAAATCCCTTCCTGGAGTTAGCAACACACAGCAGTCTTGAGGAAACTTGTTTTCACAGATTCTTAGCCTCAGCTATTAAGTGGAGAGAACGCTGGGCATTAGCACTCTTTCACTATGAACATGGATTTCTTTTTTAAAGGAAGAGCACTGGAAGAACACTCCATTCCCATTGTAAATTCACCCTGAAATGGGACAAGGTGCCTATGCCTTCAGTAATTTCATACCCTATTAAATTGAGGTTACCACATTCACAAATGCGAGCCACAGATTGTAGCGATCGTGCTACACGTTGTTAGAGATCGCGTTATATTAACCTGAGTTTTGATGCTGAGGTCAAACCTCTCTGCACAAATGGTAAGAAATGCCTTTGTGCCTCACTCCCCTCAACAAAGATGAAGCTCCTCCCTTCTTTCATCTTTTTGAAGGGAGTGCTCTGTCAGTCTCCTTAGCTGTAAAATGGAATAGTAAAAAACGGAACACAGCACAGAGGGCCCCGGTGCAGAAGGGACATGTGTCAGGTTTGTGCTTTGTAACCGGCAGTGAGCGGCTGTGAGAAGGTGTCTTGACACAACCCAAGGTGTCTGCAAACTGGCTTTTCCTAAAAGCCCCTTAATGAACAGGATGGGCAAGAGAAAGTCCCCTGCTCTCTCTCCAACCTTTCATTATTCCCTGGCATTAGCTTAGAGCACCATTTTTCAGGCAGTGGACTTGGCTGAATGGCCAGGTACTTAAAGTCCATTTGTGCCTCCAGTTCCCAAGCTGCTTTTCGTGCTCTGGCTTTCTTTCTATGAAAGATGGTGCCGAGAACAAACTGAGGGCAGATGGGGTGGGGGGGAGGGGAAAGGGGGTGATGGGCATGGAGAAGGGCACTTGTCGGGATGAGCACTGGGTGTTATATGGAAGCCAACTTGACAATAAACAATTAAAAAAATGGAAAGATAAAAAATACACAATCTTTTGGCTATATTATGATGACAGACATTACCTAGTAGAAAGGTGGTGGCAAAAAGATTAGGGGAAAATGGAGTGGAGGACTTCTTCAAGACTTGCTTTGGCTCCAGTTTTGGCAGCCTAGTCAAGTGGAGCGCCATTGTAGAATAAACCCTTAGCTGTATTCCACTTATTAGCACACCAAAGGAAAAAAGATACAGTTAGGTAGAACATTTGTTTTGGAAATAGTTTCAAAAAAATGAGAAACATGCAGAAATAAACCTGACCACTTTCATCCTAAGCCACCATACAATAAATCCATTTTCATTATGTGGGTGACACTACCTTCTTGTGTGCACGCATACACATGTGCATGCAAACATGGGAAATAAGAGGAACACGCATTCTAGTTTTATCTGGATTTTTCTTGAGGGGTGGCCACCATTTAGATAAGAGTTGGCACATATTTATGTGGCCCAGAGTGGTGGACACTGGGAGCGTTTCTGGATTCAGATGATCTAGCTTCAAGTTCTAACTCCCCAACTGACTAGCTACTGTCCTTGAACACAGTGCATAACCATCTGAACTTTGGTTTCCTCATCTGGAAAATGAGGATGGAGGTCTTCACCTCTCTGGTCATTGTGAGGACTAAATATGTCATGAAAAAAGAGCTGCCAGAGTGACCAGTGCATGGTTAATGCTAAGAAATATTAGCTGTTTCTATTTTGTTAATGATGATGTATGTGTGTGTGTGTTCCTTGTGTGAGGGAACAGTCTGTTCTAAATTGCTTGGAGTATAATTGAATCAAAGCTTTACAGCATAACACATACAGAATACTTAGGACATGACAAATAAAGAAAACTTTGAATGTCTAAAAAAGATGAAATACTGGGGTGCCTGGGTGGCTCAGTGGGTTAAGTGTCTGGCTCTTGACCTCAGTTCAGGTCATGATCTCACGGTCCAAGGGTTAAATCCCACATCAGGCTCTGCACTGGCAGTGCAGAGTCTGCTTGGGATTCTCTCTGCTTCTCCCCTGCTCGTGTGCTCTCTCTCTCTCAAAATAAATAAATAAACTTAAGAAAAAAAGGAATATAAATTCATTTGTTCTCTGGTTTCTAAGTGCAGCTCTGGAGGGATTGGAGGAAGAAAAGTACTAACACAGGAAGGAAGAAAATCAATCTGATGGACATGAATATAGCCACCAAACTAGCTCAGGGATTTCTTCAATGTCACTACTCTACAGTTAACCTTCACTCAGGCCATTTATTATTTGGGGGCACTGCTGCAAAGAGACCAGAAAATGAATAGAATAATGATGTTTTTACGGCTCCTAATGTAGATTGTTATCGAAAATCTGTCAATTTTACTGGCAAGCCTTTGGCTCAAAAAATAAGATCCTCATTTGTAATTTGCAGGCAGTAATAACTAAAATTATGAGAAGTAACTGGGAAATAAAAAAATAACTATGATGATAATTATCTTTCTCATTAAAAACAAGAGGCATTCTATTATCAGTGGGATGTGCAATATACCCTTTAACAGCTGCTGCTACAGAGCTAAAACACATCCGAATACGAAGGCAAATACATTACTGATCACCCAAATGATGAAAAATAGGTACTGCTGAAAATGTTTGCAAAGTGGAACAGAACAGAACACAGCAGTATGTGCCACCCGCCTGTGCAAACCAGAGCGAAACCACTTACAGATACTTGCGGAATTGGTCTCAACTTTTCCCCCGAGATTTCCTTTACGGAGGTTTTGTTTATTGAAGCTGGTACTTGATGGGCTGGTAAGTCCTTTGCTTTGATAACGGGATCTGGAGTTTTCTGGGAGGATTCGCTTCTTCTGGGGGGAGAATGGCATGGTGTAGGCACCAAACTCATTTGAAAGTCTTTTTTATCTATCTGCTTCGCCAAGGAATTCTGGCTTTCTGATGCTCCTGCTTCTGCATAGGCACTTTTTAGAGGTCCTGTGCCTGTCCGCCTTGCAGCCTTCCCCAGCATGCTGTTTAGTGTCAGCTGAGTTAACCCTGAAGGACTGGTTGTTGGGCCCGAGGAACCCTGGATACTGTAGTTATCCTACGCATGGGAACAAAGTGAAGCCATTTTGAGCCAAAATTTGCGGTGAATAAGCTACTGAGAATAGTTTTTAGTAAGTTCATTATTCTCTGAATAAAAGCTAAAGTACATCTATCCTATTTTCTTCTGCAATAAAAAAACAAGTCACTAAAAACAGCAATGCAATGCAAACAGGTATACATCGCTTGCTAAGATGCCCTGCTAGATGGTATCTGGCCTTGAGAAGACATATAGGAAGTAGTCACTAAAATTACAGTCATTTCAAGAAAGCATGTGGAAGAAGAGAATCCACAGGAAGTTACGTAAGGATTATATACTTTGACTTCCTGATAAGCTAAGTCCATGGGAAGAGAAAGTATTTGGCTTATTTAAGCAGGGAAACGTTACTCTAAAAACAAGTTGGCCTATCACAGTATTCCTGTCTAATATCATTGTAGGGATGTTTTATTGTTCAAGAGCAACAGGTAATAAGCATGTTTTGTGAAATATTTTTCTTGCATGAAAATTTCAATTATAGTTTTTTTTTCCATAAGACATGAGCTCATTAAATGCAATTATTTGGAAAGGTAAAAGTGAAAGCTACATGAATTTGACAAGTATGTAGTTCTCGGGTTATGCCTAGGAAAGCAAAAATTTAAAACTTTAAATTTGAGAAAGGAGGAACTGCAAACATAAAATCAATGGCTGTGAAAATAAATAATGGAAATGAGAACTCCAGTGCTATTTCAGTTGGTAGATTTTTCTCCTATACAATAAGAAATTTAAAAAGAAACTAGTGCCATCATTGCTTATAGATGCCAAGGTAGATTTTTCCAATTTGTCTTATTTATTTAAATATGCAAATACGTAGGGGCACCTGGGTGGCTCAGTCGGTTAAGCCTCTGACCCTTGATTTCGGCTCAGGTCATGATCTCACGGTTTGTGGGTTCACCAAATCAGGCTCTGAGCTAACAGTGTGTAGCCTGCTTGGGATTCTGTCTCCTCTCTCTGCCCCTCCCCCGCTTGCTATCTCTCTCTCAAAATAAATAAAAATAAACTTCAAATATGTGAATATGCAATAAAAGATATTAAACATGTAAATATGTAATAAATGGATATTAAAATGATAAACTGAGGACAGAAAAAAAATCAATAAAAGCAGAGTACATTTTAAAGACATTATCTGAGGGGTGCCTGGGTGGCTCAGTGGGTTAAGCGTCCGACTTTGGCTCAGGTCATGGTCTCGTGGTTCGTGGGTTCGAGCCTTGCGTAGGGCTCTGTGCTGACACCCAGCTCAGAGCCTGGAGCCTGTTTCAGATTCTGTATCTCCCTCTCTCCTGACCCTCCCCTGCTCACGCTGTCTGTCTCTCTCTCTCTCTCTCTCTCTCTCTCAGAAATAAATAAAACATTAAAAAAATTAAAAAAAAATAAAGACATTATCTGAGGTCTTAGAATGTGTATCTTAATATTCAGTGTCAGTAAGCTATTCCCTACTCTTCCATTTGTAGCCACAAAGAACCAAACATCTAGTTATTCCTCAAATTTGGTATGTTTTTAATCTTTTTTTTTTTTTTTTAATTTTGAGAGAGGAGAGAGAGCGAGTGAGCGAGTACTCAAGCAGGGGAGGGGCAGAGGAAGAGAGAAAGGAAGTGTGGATCCCAACCCCGGGATCATGACCTTAGCTGAAATCAAGAGGCTGACACTCAACCATCTGAGCCACCCAGGTGCCCTGGGACAGATTTTAATTCAGTCTTGCTGCTAGATAGTGCTATCTCTTCTCTAACTTAAAAAAGTAAAAACAACAACTCGTTTTATTTTCTATAATTGTTACATACAATTGGTAGTGGGATTTCTTTGACCAAAAGACCCTCTACTCATTCATTTCCATCATATTTTAATAAAAAAAATAAACATGTGCCATGTATTTAAAACAGATTGGCCCTAAAAATAGGTTGGTTGAGCAGAGAAGGTATAATAATGCATCTTTGGGCCAGAATCTTTGGATCATCCTAGGATTCCATTTTGTATGTGACACAGGCAGAAGTTAGGAGCTTCTACAATAAAAATTAGTACAATAAACATTTATCAAGCTCCTGCTATGTGTAAGGCATTTTCTAGGCACCATATAAGATACATAGGTAAGAACATGGGCACCGACCTCGGGAGGCACAGAGTCTTAAAGGCAAAAAAGGCATAAAGCAGAGAGATAGATACCTATGAAAGTAATAATTTCATAAGGTAGAAGGCAGTAAATATCATTCCAAAAGTTTCAGATATACTATTATGAGAATTCAGATGGATGCATAGATAGTCAGATGTTCGCTACATTATTTTAAAAACACTTTGAAAATAAAATTATTATAAGAAGTCCATTTTTTGAGACTGTGGGTGGGTTGGAGTATAGTCTTTTCTTTCCACCAGTAGTTTACTCAAGTGAAAAATTATTTCTTTTTGCTGGGTATGAGCAGTGATTACATACACAGAAATATTTGTGAGATGTGTATGGACATTCATCTCACATTTTTCCTAAGATATACCCTGGTTTGGAGATGGGTCGAGGAGGACAGATTCAGCTGCATTTCCTGGTGAACATTCTCATGGTTAATCTGTATTTCCACGGTATTATGTTTCTATGCTATTTTAAATATATGGAATAGATAAATAACTGGAGACTCTGGACAGAGTATAAAAGGCTCGCTTACTTTGGCTGCCCTAGAACCAATTCTGGTTTACCCCAGATTCTGAAAGAGGAATTAGGATGAATGAGAAAGGGAAGAGATCCACAAGACTAATGCTTTGATTTAAATTGGGTCAGCTTCTCTTTTAGAGTGGAAATAGAGAATAAAACCTAGTATTGTATTTTCTAGGACTGGCACACTGGCAAAATGCTATTCCTATCTTTAGCAATACTTTTGATTTACTAAAATAGATGATATACATAGAGGTGATGTTTATTGATTTCATAAATGTAATAACACCTTTGGGCTCAACATGCTCTTGGATTAATTTTTTCTTATATAACATATGCATTTGTTATACGCATTAGAAGTTAGCTTACTACGACCTGATTGAAAAACAACCACTTTTTCCCCTTTGGTTTATCACTTAGCTACTGAAAACCTGTACAGCAATTGAATATAATTTGTCAGAGTGTAAAGAAATTGTCATGCCATTTTCACATTCCAATCATCTGTTCATCTGTTTCTCAGAAGAGCAAATACAAAATGCTTTTGATTTAACTTAATATATTTTTTTAAAATGTCCCAAATCTCTTGAACCGTTTGTCTTCTGGGCTCAGAGGCATTTGTTTGTTAAATATTCAATCACGCCCCAGTGCTGGGAACATCAATAGAGTTTGCCTGATTAACTGTAGCACAGCATATGTACGCTGAAGATGAGAATGATTTCCCCAAGGAGCCAGCACTTTCTCTGTTGAACTACGTTTCTTAAAAGGACATGCAGATGGGCATTTGGACAATAATTTCTGGACGCACAGAATGGACTGCTCTTGCTGAGCTGTAATTTTAAAAAGACAATTTTAATGACTCTTGAGGGCCACCTACTTGGAGCAGATGGGACCAGGCTCTTTGTATCCAAACTTCAATGTTAAGTGAGTCAGGATGGAACTGTGTTTTAGCCTCTGTGAAAGTGAATGATCATATTTATTTATATTTCAATTGATTTTTTAATTCAGCCCACCACAAAAAAAACCTTTCTATAACCTTCTTAAACGTTCTGTAAAAAAACATGTCTGCAATATTCCAAACACACCTTTGATGGCAGTTTTGAATTTGTAATTGAGGTGGAATCAGCAGAAGTTTTTACTTTTGTCGAATGTGTTAGTGACTAAATGTATGAACTGACAGCGTCTTTTAGTTGGGACATTAGTGCTAGTAGACAATAGATGATATAGGTATATACTTCCACTGTCACCTAAAGAGCACAATTTTTTACACAGATACAGCTAAAGACATGAGTCATAACAGAGTGAGAAAAATAATTTCTTCTTGGGGCACCTGACTGGCTCAGTGGGAGGAGCATGTGACTCCTGGTCTCAGGGTCATGAGTTTGAGCCCCACATCGCATGTAGAGACTACTTAAAAATAAAATCTTGGGGCACTTGGGTGGCTCAGTCAGTTAAGTGTCTGACTCTTGATTTCTGTGCAGGTCATGATTACACCGTTTGTGGGGTCGAGTCCCATGTTGGGCTTTGCTCTGACAGCTAGGGGGCTCCTTGGGATTTTCTCTCCTCTCTCTGCTGCTGCCCCACTGTCTCTCTCTCTCTCTCTCTCAAAATAAATAAATAAACATTAAAAAGAAATCTTAAGGGACACTGGGGTGGATAGATTGGTTGGGTGTCTCACTCTTGGGTTTCAGCTCAGGTCATGATCCCAGGGCTGTGGGATTGAGACCCTCATTTGGCTCCAGGCTGAGTGTGGAGCCTCCCTGATATTCTCTCTCTCTCTCTCTCTCTCTCTCTCTCTCAGTCTCTCTCTCTCTCCTCTTCATCCCCACTCGTGCTTTCTCTCTCTAAAATAAAAATAAATAAAATCTTAAAAAATTACTTGATGGTAACACAATTGACTACTCAAATGTATCTTAAAGGTATTCACTAACAACCATCCCCAAGAAGTATTTTTACTTCCACCTCTTGAATTGTACAGGAAACTATTAAAGTAATACAGTTCTCACTGGGTGGCAAAGGTAATTGATAGTGGTATCTTATAATGCATTTTACTAACTGGCTTATAAGGAAGTAAAATGAAAGGAAGATGTGTTTCTAACAGGTAACTAACCTGCAGAATCTTTGGGATTAAAAGGGGCTGGGTGAATTATTTTTGTTAATATCTTTACGTATAGCCAATGATGCTTCACAGACAAATCATAGAAGTTAGAAGGACTCTACAGATGGGCAAACACCATCATGTGAATATTTGGGGAAAATGAGGAGACTCCTTTAATTGTTTAAGCCAGAAACATATTTTTCTATAAGTTAAGACTTCATGCTCTTTTAGCTGATAACACTTTAAAGATTTATTGTGGAAATTCTATCCACATTCAAATATTTACCTGCAAGATGTTTATCTTTCAGCAAAAGTGACAGAATGATATTCTAAGCAGACAAGAGTTTTATAACCTTCACTTGCCTATAACAATGAAGAGCCAAGTCACATGAACCAAGGGGCCTGTGACTTTTGCAGAGAGGATCAGAGCTTCAAAAGATAATAATAAAGACATAAAGGGGCACTTGGGTGGCTCAGTCGGTTAAGCGTCCGACTTCAGCTCAGGTCATGATCTCGTGGCTGACAAGTTCGAGCCCTGCATCAGGGTCTGTGCTGATAGCTCAGAGCCTGGAGCCTGCTTTGGATTCTGTGTCTCCCACTGTCTCTGTCCCCCTCCCCCCCAACATCCCCTCGCTTGTGCTCTGTCTCTCAAAAGTGAATAAACGTTAAAAAAAAAACCTTTGAAAGATAATAATAAAGACATATTGATGTGAACAGCCTTAAACATTTCTCATGCAAAGTAAATATTAAATTTGCCTGGCAGGCTTAGAGAATATGTTATGTTGTAATTCATAATATACAGGAATAAAAATGCAAGGCCATATATTCACAATAAAGCCCTTCCATTTTTTCCCAACATACACATTGACATTATAAGTTTTAAAAAAGGCTGCACAGAAATATAAGCGGCCTCAAACGGAGTAAATATTCTTTCTATTTTGTGTATGTATGTGTGCGTGAGAAAGTCATTCAAATTCATTAGTTAAGTGCACAGGGATGAATGTTTTGTAGACTAATCCAGAAATCTAAGCTATCAGGAAAAAAGTATGAAACAGCTTAACTGCTGAGTGTTAAAAAAGATACCTTGAAAGCAAAAATGATGGGAAAGCTGAGAGGGGGGCCTAAAAGGGTTCTTTTACTCCGTGGTTAGTAAATTTGTTCTCTGCAGCCCTCCACGGAGTTAGATGGGGAGAAGATCTGGAAGGTTCTGCTAATTTGAATTCTCTAAGTAGTCAGTCCACATAATTCATGTCCAACTATGGACAATTTTTTGGCTTAATGTTCCAATTTGGACTGTGGCACAGGACAAATTATCTGGCCTTGTAAATATCTACTTTAGTATGTGATACATGCCAGTGTTTTGGGGAAAAAACGATGGCATTTCTAAATGAAAAATTAAGTTAGGGGAGTAATAAAATATTAATATAAAGCTAACCATTTCAAGTTGTAAACCAGGCGTACACTCAAAGCTATGTTGAGAAATATGGCATAAAATACAGTGTAGAGATGATAATAGTAACAGGCTTCTTTTCTTTCAGATGCTGCAATAATGTGAAAGGAGCTTTCCGAGGATAATTCATCTTACACGGTAGTCTTGATTTTATAGCTATATATTTCCATAGTGTGCTTTTCAACTAAGAAGTAAAAACTCAAAATTAATTGAGTATCAGGAATATTAGTATACATGGTTGCCTAGGGAATAAAATATATAGTATAGCAAATATAAGAGCATATGCAAAAAAGAAAACTCATAACTTTGAGACTCTCACACTAACGAAGATTTCAGATGTGAATTAATGAATAGTAACTTAAATTACAAAATCAATGTATCATTGAAAGCTTACTTTAATTAGCCTTTACTATCATATGTGTACTTTTCCTCTAGCTATCATAGCAAGATTTGATTTTGCTTAGTTTACATGCTACTGAATATATCTAATTTCCCTTTAAAAATACTCAACGGTCTACCATCAAATAAAGTCTTTTAACTACAGGTTATAAACTTCAAGCATCGTAAGTAATGTAATTATACTCATTTGTCCACCGTTACTTATAACATAACATTGTTTTCCTTAAGTATAATTATGTTACTCTAAGCATATAACATTCTCAAATAACGCAACTAATATAGTAAGGATGCCTAAATTAACTGATCTGATTTTTCTTCAAAGACTGTATGTAAATAAACATTTGAGATACATAATCCAATTTCCCATTGACCTACGCAACTGGGAGAAGTAATCCTACAGAAAAAGAAATTACCAAAAAAATTACCAAAAGAAATAACCAAAAATTATTTTTTGATAAAGAAGGGATCATCACAGATTCTAGAACTTGTTTAAATATAACCCGACATTTTTGTTGGTCATGTTTTCTATTTTAGTTTGTATCTTGTTTTTGCCTCTAACAACAAATCCCAAAGCTTGTATAATACGGCAGGTTTCTGCCCTTCTATCTTGCTACCGCTGTTAGTAGGCTCTGACTAATGGTAGGCCAGGATGGGGGTTAGCAATGAGATGGTCCCAGTACAGACTCTAGCCATATACTACTGGTCATTTTGATGGTCATGGGACAGGAGTGACCAGATAGCTATGCCACTCAGAGCCTGGGTAATGCAGGATACATTTATTTTCTATTTCATGTAGTTGGTAATTAGCATATGTCTGCATAATAAATGATGAAAGATGTAAGAAGTAGAGTAGCTAATAGCAAAAGAAAGCACATAAAGTGATAACAAGTTAAAATATTCAGAACTAGCATTCATTTTCCAACGAAGCTCTACTGCTTCTTGTGAAGACTTAATCCTTCATACAAACAGAAGAGGTAAGTTTCTTATGTCGTGAAAATTAATGGGCAGTTTCCCATAAAACTTCTCTCAAAGTTTTCCAGGGAAGGAACTAATAATTCCCACCTGTGATGAAATTTCCACCATTCCTCCTGCTTAGATTTAGATAAGAAAGATGGTGCTGTGCACATGGGAAAGGGATGGGTTATCTTGTTAATGAAATGATATTAATTAATTTATCAGATTAGCCAATAACTGACAGCTTGATGGAGCCTATACTAGGTCTGAAGGCAAATTTCTATTTTATAATTTTTATACCTTAACGTTTTTCAGGGTGGAAGGGACAAAGATGTTCTGAGCAAAATGTGAAATGCTGGCATCAAATGTACTATTTATGTATAAAGGGGTTTAGACTAGGTTTGTTTGGTATGAATAATAGTTTCACCACACTCAGAAGCACAAATTATAAAAAAAGGATTTCCTCATGCACTTTGCTATGGAAACTCATTAAAAGTTGCAAAACACCATAATTGCTGCCTGAACACTCACATCTTATTCTCAACCGGCTCTGAAGGTAAGAGTTCTGCATCTAATCTGCATGCTGCTGTCTGAATGGGGATCCTACATCAGTTATAATTTGAAAAAAATTTTTTTGTAAGCAGATACAAAAATTTTTTTTAATTATTATTATATAATCATTATATTATATATAACCTAATATATTTGTAAATAAGTTTATTACATATAATTTATTAGATATAATTATTATCTGTTTAATATAGAAATGACTTGTATAATTTCTCTAGACCATAACTTGACTGTAATCTGCTTTTAAGATGATTATTTTTCATGGAAAATATGAATGCCTATCCTTAAAGAACAAAACTAATGGAATGTCACAAATACATTCATCTCATATGGGGAAAAAGAGTTACTGGATTAAGTTTTCAACAAATGTTTCAGAACTACTTTCCATTTGGTTTATAGCAAGTTCTTTAAAACTTTATGTGAGTTTACTAATTTATAAGTTGTATTTGTATTCTAAATAATTGCAAACAGAAAACCTCGGGTAAGGCAAGTCCCAGCACTAATCCATGATTCATTATCTAAACTTTAATTGGCACAACTCATGAAATTCTGGGACCATATGGAAAATAATGAGTCCTAATAGGTCTAAGGTGGAGAGATGGCAGGGGAGTAAGGAAGCCAGGAAGCTGGCAATTCCGGAGGCTTGGCGGCTGCGACACAGCTTCCCCAGAGAGCCAGGGCCAATGTGTGCGCAGGGTCTCAGTGGCCTCGCCATCCTACAACTAAACTGCGTAGAGTTTTCTAATTCTGTGAGGCAAAAATTAAACTGAAAAAGCAAAAGCAACCCCAAACCCGGTTTCCATAATTAAAAATGAAATTGGCTGACTGTTAATAAAAAAGGCAGCAATTTAAAGTTACCATAACAACCTGAGGCAACTGTTGACCGACACTGCAGTCGGTTGCATTTGTCTAAATAGCGGCTGATTGCCCCTCTTTCATTTCCGCTGGTTTTAGCGCTCCGCGGGGCTAATGGCACAACCGTGCTTTAGAACGACCGCACTCATCAAGCGGTGTTACCTCTTCGCTGCTGTCTCCGCCGTAAAAATCATCCTCCGATTCGGTGTCTCTCCTTGTCACGCTGGTATCCTCTTTTAGATCCAAAATAAATGGGCACTCCTCTGGGGACAGAGTCTGGGTTTTCCCATGCGGTGCCGATCGCGGTCTCGAGGAAAAAGTGAAAATGTCCTTTGGAACAGCCTGGGTTTCCTCCGCCAGTTGGTCACGTTCACTTTCCTTGCTGGCTTCTAGCCACAGGTGTGAAGCGTGGCAGGAGTCATCATCCAGAAGGAGAGACTGTCTGCTGGACGCCAAGTGGGAAAGGTGATCATTTTCGGGAAATATCCACTCATCTGACATTTTGGAAGAGATGACAAAAATTAGAGGAGTGTTCCGTAAGTGTTATATTACGCAGGTACTTAGTTTAAAGTTTCTTATGTTGAAACAGATTTATCAAATAATGCAGAAGCCAAGGAATGCAACCTACCCACCATCTTGTAACCTGCTAAACATTTAACCCCATAGATCAGTGCCTATAGCTACGGGGAATTCATTGCACTTTCTCTCCATCTGAGTTGAAACACTGGGTGGGAAATTTCTAAGTCTGAAATAATTATCACCGGGCTTGCAGCAAGTTCTTTATAGCACAGCCTCATCAATTTGACATTCCAGGGGGGAGGAAATCTTCCAAATATAAAAGGGTTTGAGTAACTAATATCTTCTTTTACCTGTAGGAGAGCAGGGTATTTAACAAGTTTCTTTAAAGAATATATCTGGGCATTGTTCAGATTACAAATCATGGAGGAGAGGAAACCATGAAAAGGTTAAGAGGCTTTTCCGTTCCCTTTCACTGACTGAAGCGGGGCAATTCATAGACTAAACTGAGTAGACTTTTCAAGTGACAGTAAGTCCACAGAAATACTTGTTAATGTGACTGGTGAACTCTGCTGGTGAAAAAGTTCTTTATGTTTAATTATAGGAGGGAATGTTTTGATACAAAAATCTTTTGCACAACATTATTTGCTTTTGTTAAAAATACTGAGTTCTACCACTAATTTTCCAGTAGTTTTAGGTGTACAACACAGTGAAGAGATTTTAATCTTTTATTTAACACTAAGATTTTTATAGTTATGATCTAGGCAAATTGGAACAGACAAATATTTATAATGAATATCATTAAAAGCATGCTCATTTTCTTTAGAATTATGGCAGGAAAAAGTCATATTTTCTCCACTCAGTCTATTTTCCTTAAAATTTACTTTTTTTTGCTATATAATGTCAATGGTGAAAATCTTACAAAAATCTGCAGAACCAAATTGTGGACATGGTCATTTTATCCTGACTCTGGAATCTGGCTACATTTATCCTCACAAGGAAAGTAACCAAGATTTGCTGACTTGAAACTCTAAAGCCTACATTCGGAAAGCAACAAAGAAAAGACCTTTAATACAAATAACATTAATGGCACAAATGAAATCGTATTCATCATAATGTATTCATTGGTTGTATAACTTAACACTATAACATAGCTTGCCTATAAAAACTAACAAATGTACATTTCTTAGAGAACATGTACAAGGGACAAGCTTTCACATTTTCTGTAGGTAAATGGCCAACGGTGGGCTGAATCTATGTCATCGGACCACACTCACAGGGGACGTGGGGGCTCCTGGGTCAGTGTGCGGTGAGCAGGTGCAATAAACAGATTCACTGGGCTGTCCTATTTGGGACAGCAAACTCTTTTGCATGGTGCTAAGAACATCCATATGCTTTGTAAACCCAGTAGGTGCTTTATTAATACATAAATGTTGAAAAAGATTAAAAAAAACCCCAATGTATTGCATTATGTACATGGATAGGTCAAGAAAATTGGAGGAAAAAATACTGGGAATCTTCACTTTGCAATTAAACAACGTGCATGACCTATTCCCAAACATATTATTAACTGTCAAAAAGTCAAAGTCAAAGGAGTGTTTTTACACCAAACGGACTCTAATTATCTCACCGCCACATGCTTTTTTGGAATTTGTAGTTTTACCTCAAAGTATTTCCATATCAATTGTAATGAATAATTTGGTGTGTTTTCTTAGGAAAATATGTAAATTACTGTGTAATCACAATATTGCAGCAAACAAGATAAATGCAAGAATGATCACCTAAACATCTAATTAGTTTTTCTACACAGTCAGATTTATGCTAGAGACACTAATTGCGCCTAACATTTTAATGAAGGTTTCAACATTGCATAAATAAGACTGACAAACTACAAACAATTTTCATTTATTTTCCTTTTTCCCTCGCTCAAAAACAATTCGCCTTTGTATAAGTACCACACACCTGCTAGGCAAGATATGTTGATGGGCTCAATGCGCTACACTCCAACCATCTCCATTATAAAGAGGATGTGGGACTTGTAACAATAGGTAATTTTGGGGGATTGTGATGATGTCATGTGAAAACTTCAGAGTTTCAAACTTTCCTTCTGAAAGTCGGACATACAATTGGGGTTAAAAGGGGATTTACGAAAAAATGATAGAGTTTTAGCAAGTAACTGAATCATAACTTTTCAAAATGACCGGGGTTTGAAATGTTAAGTGTATTTAGATTTTATTCATTATTAGCAATACTGGTGCAAAAAAGACGCCAACCTGCTTGATCAGGAGACTGTGGCGCTGGAGAGCTGGTGTTCATCTCTGCTCTCTGCTGGGACACACTGTTGACGATGGTTGTCGCTTTATCTTCATTCCTGTTATTTCCTGAAGAGCAGCCTTTATTGGAATAACTATGTTATTTTCTTCTGATTTTTTAAAAAAGTTATTTTTGAAGAGTGCTATTAACATGGGGTACTTTCCTACATGACTACTGAAAAGCACGTCAGAGGTGACAATAAGGATTATGTGCAGTTTTTTTTTTCCTTTTACACTAGAATGTTTTAAAGATGAACTCAGCTGCATTTTTGTAGCGGTTCATCTTTAAACTCCTTGATATTTGCATGGGGACATTTCAGATTCATGTTTTACAATATGCAATAAAAGGAATTCCAAAACTTGTATCATTCTTAAAGGGTACTATATTTTTCCTTTTGGTTCCACATAAAATGGAGTGTGTTTTCTTTAAATTACAACTCTTGCTGAATGAAGCAAGCTTTTTCCTGCAGCATCTTAAGAAAATGGACACAGAATTAATTTTTCTACCTACCGTTTTGTAAAAATAACACAAATCCTAACAAGTTGAATTTCAGCATACCCAAAAACCCTATGTTTTTGAGAAATTATGCTAACAGATGCGTATAAGACATACTCTGGGCTTGACTCAGGGTAGACTACTGCGTGTGCAGACAAATCGATCCTTGCCTTACCTCCTATCCAATATTCAAAGGGATAACTATAATAGCCACCTAAATGTATCTAATGTTTTACTGGTTGCAAAGAGTTGAAATTTTAACCTACACTATATCAGATGGCATGGAGTCAAAAGAGAGAGACAGCAAATGTAAAAAAAAGATATATATACATAACTGAAAAGGGCCCAATTTAAAAAGAAGAGATATAAAAGCAACATGAAAACCTATGAGTTAAGTTCAATTTTAGGAAAGTCTGTAGGCAGAAACTTCCTCTATCAAATTTGGGCTATTTCTAAAAAACAATAATTTAAGCTTATTCGGCCTTTGAGAGTAGAAAGCAGGAAGTCCTTTATTTCTGCGGTACTGTCTATTTAATCCAGCAAATCTCTGTTAGGGCTCTAGAGCAATTCTCTTGCAGAAAATTTGATTTCCATAATCCCTGTAGAAAAGATATTTATATTTTAAATGAATTGGTTCGTAATCCTTTGAAATTTACAACCTGCAGAGAGAGATTCCATTGCTCTGAATAATATACAGATATAAGATAGTATTGAATTAGTGCCATACCGCGGTGTGCCTCTGTCCTTTCTCCGCTGGTGCTTTTTAACCGTAATCTTCTCCTGTTATTATTCTTATCTGCTGACGGTTCTTGAGGGGGATGTGGGTGCAGAACATGCAGATCAGCTGGTATGTTTTCATATCAAAGAACAAAAAGCCAGAACAGAAAGTAGTATATGGGTTGAAATAACTCAGTAAATATAATTAGAGCTATAATGAGAATGTTTCCGTATCATTTTGACATCATGCAAAGCGGTATCAAAACCATAACTTATTCCTTCACAGAAAATAGGTATTTATTCCTATTCCAATATTAGGATCATAACAGGCTTTCAAAATTACTAATACATTTTACTCTTGTAATATAACCTTACAGAGAGCTACAGGTCATGTTAATCATACAACATCTATATTAAAAATATAAAAAATGGAACTGATAGCTAATACAGAAAAATTCTTTCTTCCTTTAAAAGAGGAGGTAGATAAATTTCTAAAGAACCATGGAGAACTGAGATTAAACCTGAAAAAGAATTCTTAGGTGTAATTTAATTCTGTAGTAATAATAATAATCATAGTAGAATTTAATATTTACTGAATGCTTAATTTCTTGGCACAATATGGGGTGTTTGATTTTTCTTCTTTAATCCTCATAAAGATGATTTGAGGCAGTTATTACTTATTACTACAATAGTGCCAGCAGTAATTTTATCCCCATTTTATAGATGAGGAAACTGAGGCACACAGGGTTTGGGAAATTTGATCAAGGTCTCACAGATGGTGGTACAGCTGGGACTAAATATCTATGTTATTCATTTCCTTATCTCAGTTTTGTACTGCATGGGAAATATAGTCTGTGGTAATGGTCATTAATCTCAAAATCAAATAAAATCAACACAAATGACTCCCTTTTCAACTCTCACGAAAGTAAGATATGCAAGAATGGAAAAACTGACAGTGAGTAGTAAGCCTTCAGTGCTGGTCTCAATTCTTTCCAATGATTACAAATTGCAAATCACTTTGCCTCTCTGTTAGCCATGAACCTTCAATCTATAAAATGGGACAAAACTCTCCTCTTCACTAACAGGGTTATTTTTATATCAACAAGAGAAAGTAAAAAGCATGTTATAAATGGAAGAGATTAATTAAAAGATAAAATTAAGAAAACTTGAAATGCATGTGGAGTTCTCAAAATATAGTGATAATAGAATGCTGTGTTATTTCCTTGCCAATCATCACAAAATAAAAACACAGGGTACTATGGTAATTTGAAATAGTGGAATAAAGAGAACAATAGGTTCTAGATGATAATATAAGTTTGAAACATATTTCAATATCTGCCATCTTTTTCATTTTTATGTATTTATGTATTTATTTTTTTCATCTTTTTCATTTTTAAATGATAATTCTCTGGATATAAGATCTAGTCAAGAATATAACTTCAAATTTATCTTCACAAGAACATTTCTCATTATTTTTCCCTAGCTATCAAAACTTATGCACCTTTTGGAGCGCCTTGGTAGCTCAGTAAGTGTCTGACTTCAGCTCAGGTCATGATCTCCTGTTTTGTGAGTTTAAGCCTCGCATGGGGCTCTGTGCTGATGGCCTGAAGCCTGAAGCCTGTTTCGGATTCTGTGTCTCCCTTCTCTCTGCTCCTCCCCAGCCTGCACTCTGTCTCTCTCTCTCTCAAAACTAAATACACACTAAAAAAAAGTAAAAAAAACCAAACTTACGCATGATTCTTACCATGAATAGGTACAGTCTGCTTTATTTGGTGAATATTTTCTTTATTTCCTTGCTCCTCTGACTCAGGGATCAATGAGGCTGACATTTCTGCACTGCTAACACAGTTCTCTGCCACAGACTGTTGGCATGATCGGTTATTTCTGGACCCAGTGGATCTTACTATCTATAAGGAAAAAAAATTAATCTGCACATTTTAAAATACGGGAATTGCATTTATTTCTTGTAGAATATACACAGACTAATAATATTTGGACCACTAAAAAGTGACGAAAAAAAAACTAGAGGAAATAAGCAGGTTAGAAAGTTGGTGGAGAGGAAAATTATTGTAGAAAATTAGAAAGAAATGGAAGGAGAAATACAATATGAGATAAAATAGAAGTCAAGCAAGTCTTCTAGACACAAATTAAAATGTGCTTATTTGCTACATTCCATCTTTAGTAGGTAGGAGTTGACCTGAAAATTGCTGTGTATGTCTGAAATTCAGAGGAAATTAAAAATAAAAAATATAACATTTGAGAATCTGGTTGTTGTAAGGTGGTGATCCAACTCTTTTTTGAAGGAGACCACAAAATGTGCTCACATATATTTGCCTTTAAGTTTTGTGAACATAGTTAATGAAAAGAATACTCAGAAACATTAACTGTGTTGATATGACAAAAATAAAACAGTTTTGAGGTTTTGTAAAATCCTGAATTTGTTCGCAATTTATTGAAGCCTTCTGCTTTTGGCATGTAATCTCTCTCCCTCTTCCCCATCCCCCCAACGCCTGCAGTGGGAAGAAAAGCTTCCCTTCCCATGCCCCTCGACGCTTAGATGAGCTCTTAAATCTTGCTCCTACCTCACTGGATATCTTCATGTTATTTCTTCTGCCGGAGAGTGGAGGTGGTCCTAGAACTCTGGATCCAAAGGCGATATGACAAACATCGTGATTTTTACTGTTCCGCACACTGCCTGTTCCCTTGTTAATGAACTGATCTGTTTTGTTTAAGGAAGGTAATAATAGTCCATTAATAGGTATAATGACAAACACCATGTTGCAATGTTTCTCAAAATGTAATCCAGGTGTCATATGATTCAAATTCCACTATACGACACTTATAAAAAATGCAGATACTGGAGCCCAACATCAGATCTACCAGATCTGTAGAATTAGAATCTTGGGGAGGGGAGGCAGAAATCTATAATTTTAACAAGCTCTCCCAAATGATTCTTATGCTCAGCAGTTCATTTGAGAACTGCTGCCACAAATATTTTGCCTCAAAAAAGAGAGGGGGAGGGGGAGAAAAGAAAGAAAGAAAGGCTACCAAAAAATATATCTTAGTAAGGAAGTATTTTAAATAAAACTAAATCAATTGAGCAAATATTTGCTTGAGCACGCTCCTGAGCACGTACTAGAGGTTGTCAGTGACGCAAAATAGATAAGATATACTGCTTGCCCTTGAGGAGTCTGGAGGGGAGGTGATAGTACAACAGGTAACCATAACATAAAGCAGACCGGGGGGCGGGGGGCGGTGTGGGGTGTGGGGAATGAAGAATAAGTGACCTCTTATACCTTAAATAATTAAAGTCAGAATTACCCTACACACTACTGGGTATTTACCCCTCAAATACCAATACACTAATTCAAAGGGATACCTGCACCCCTATGTTTATTGCAGCATTATTTGCAATAGCCAAACTATGGAAGCAGCCCAAATGTTCACTGATAGATGAATGGATAAAGATGTGAATTATATATATATATACATATATATGTGTCTGTGTATATATATGTGTGTATATATATAACGGAATATTATTTAGTCATAAATAAGAATGAAATCTTGCCATTTGTAATGACATAGAGGGAACCAGAGAGTATTATGCTAAAGAAAAAAGTCAATCAGAGAAAGAAAATACCATATGACTGCACTCGTATGTGGAATTTGAGAAACAAAACAAATAAGCAAAGGAGGAAAAAAAGAGACACAGATTAATTAATTAATGACACAGAACAAACTGTTGGTTACCAGAGGGGAGGTGGGTGGGGGAAGAATGAAACAGAGGATGGGGATTAAGAAGTGCACTTTTCACGATTGGAAAAAAAAAAAAAAGAGTAAGTGACCTCTTGAATGGACCTTGGATGATTGATAATATTTCAAGAATGAAAGATGTAGGGTGCTCCAAACAGAAAAAAGTGTCTGAATAAAGGCAAGGAAGAGTGAACTCGTAGGGTATCCTTGGGGAACAATGAAATTACCAGTTTAGCTGGAAGGCTGGGTTTGGGTCACAGTGAACAGAGCCTTAAAATGCTAAGAGCTGATTTTAAATTTGGTAGGCAACAGGGTATCATTTAAAGAGAACAAATTGGTTTCACCTCCAGGATAGGGCAGGTGTGATTACCAAATCTTGCTGTCTTTCCTTTCTGGGCACACAGCTACATTACATTTTTAGCCATCCCTACAGTTACACGGGTCATGTGACTAAGTTCTGGTTAATGAGACTTGAGAAGTGAAATGTGAGAAGTATAAACTACTTCTGGGTTTCTAAAACCTCGTGCATAATCCCCAATACTCTTTTTTCCCTCATCTCTTGATAAGATGCAGAAGATCCAAGGGAGGACTTTAAGACCCCGAAAAGAATCATTAGATAAAAGGAGCCTGGGTCTCTGAATGACCATATGGAAGGTTGTCCAAGGAAGTCCCGACTGGATGAGGCTGTGGGGCTCCTTGTGGCTATAGCTAGCCTCCTCTGACTAAAAGAGAAGGTGAGAGAATGATGGTCTTTAAGTCAAAAAGCTGCCTGCAACCTAGAAAGCCTTCTGCTCTGCCCACTTGCAAGACAGAACCAACTTGAATATTATGACGTGAGCTCTAAGTAAGTCCACCTTTGTCCAATAGTCCTGGATATACAAGAGCTACTGGCCACTTTCCGTCTAACTTATTCCTTGAAAAAAATTCCTATGGTTAGCTAGGTGGTCTCTTTACCCTCTACTGTAGGGCTATAATTTTACATGTGCTGGAGTTAAAAACTTCTCCCCTGCAAAAGCATGAAAAAAGGCACAAAAGTTAGTGAAAGCATGCCATGCTTGGGAGGCTCCAAGCGTTAATTCAGATCTAAGTGGAAGCAACACGTGTGGGTAAATGGTTGTTTTCTGGGTCTGGTTTTGTATCTGCAACAGATGAAGCTAAAGGGTCGGGCAAGGGTCAGACGGCTGACATGGTCTGAAAGAATGTTTGCTGGACGGAAGACTAAGATCTTCTGGCTGGCAAATTGGTGAGCAGCTGTAGCGTCTCAGTATTCTTCAAATTCCTGAGGCCCTGTGTGGTAGAAGAGAGATTCCGTTTGTCCAAAGGTCAGAAACAGAACTAATGAGAACAATTTACTTCAAGGTTTTAGTCCATCACAAGGAGCATAATTAAGCAGGTCTGGTCACGGCAGTGGGGAATTTTCTGTCATTTTGAAGGTGTCCAAGCACAAGTGTGGGAAGCTATTCTGAGGCAGGTTCAGATACCAGATGACTTCCTACTTTCTATTTCTTTTCGAGGCCTCTCTTCTGAGCTCCACTCCTTATCCCCAGTGGCCTCCTTGCCCAATTCCTCTTCCACATCTCCAAGAAGCTTCCAACAGGAAACTTGGTCTGGTGGACGGCACTGCAAGCCATTGAGTTTGAAGAGTTAGGACCCGGATATCATTCTTGGCTCCTCCCTCTACCCTCTCCACAGCCAGTCCATGTCTATTTGTCTCTACTGCTTCTGCCAGCACTGCGAATCCGGGCGGTCATCGTCCCTCTTCTGACGACTGCGAAGCCTCTCAAGGGACCTACCACGTCCACTGTGGCTCCCTGTGCCGTGCCTTCTCCAAAGTGCAGCCAGAGTGGTCTTCTAATGGAGAGATTCCTTTTCCTCACTGAAAACTTTTCAGTGGCTTCCCTGCTGCTCTTAGGATTACGAAGAAAAGCCCTTAACAGTAGCTGCAAAAACCTACATGCTCTTGCTTCAGTTCATACCTTTCACTCTCATTCTCTGCTCTCTCAACAGACTGGCCTCCTGAGCTCTTCCTGCCTACCAGAGCATTTGTGCACGCTGCTCCCCGTGGCCGGAAGGTTCTTCCAGTACAGGTACTCCCATAACCTTCCCCTCACGTAACTTGTTAAAGTTGCACTTTGACATGTGCTTGTGGGATTCTCTGATGTGTGCTTCAGTAGCCTACTTTGACACTCTAGAATTGCTAGTCAGGTGCTTGACATGGAGTTATAGATTCTTGCCAAGCAAAATGAATGAATCATTAAATGTAATGAATCAAAGGGATGTTGGATTAAATGACTAAATATTCTTTTTTGAAAAATTTTTTAAATTTATTTTTGAGAGGGAGTGTGGGAGTGGGGGAAGGCAGAGAGAGAGGGACCGAGGGTCCAAAGCGGGCTCTGGAATGACAGCAGCAAGCCTGATGTGGGGCTCAAACCCACAAACCATGAGATTATGACCTGAGCCAAAGTTGGACGCTCAACCGACTAAGCCACCCAGGCACCCCGATGACTAAATATTCTTAACTTTGGTTAGAATTTCATTTTTCCTTTTAAGAAAATTTGCGCATTGACGAGGAAGACTGGATAGGACTGGACAACTGCCAGGATATGGGGGATAAGAAGGATCAACAATGACCACGACATTGATAATTAAGCGAGTTGGTATGGCTTTTAACAGCAGTAGTGAGTAGTGCTGTGGCACCTCAATCAGATGCCTACTCAGGTTCCATGTGAAATTTTCTAGTGTTAGCAAATAGATTATTGGTTGTGTGGACATCTGTATTTTTTAAAGTCATTATAAAAATCCATTTGAAGTTAGCAAAACCCTATTAGTCTCTTAGGACCAGTAACAGAAAGAAATGACACTCAAATACCAGGCCAATTGGAAAAATTTATTATAGAATCTGTCATCATTTGTACCTTTTGTGACCAAGTAGAACAAATCCTGGACTATAGATTTTGTTCTGAAATGTGGAATTTCCCCAGAAATAGCCACTCAGGATCCTAAAGGTCATGGGACATGGCTCGGGCCTACATGGAAAATTTCAGTATCAGAATAGGAGCATTTTTTTTTTTTTGAACCTCCAGTCATGGGAACCATTAGGAATGGGCATGTATATATATATTTTTTTGCATATGTTTCTGTTCAAATATCTTATGAGGTGATTTCCTTAATGTTTTTCTTACTCTTCATGTATATATGAATTGTATATTATTATTATTTTTAAAAAATTTTAATGTTTTTTAAAATTTATTTCTGAGAGAGAGAGAGAGAGAGAGAGCGTGAGCAGGGGAGGGTCAGAGGGAGAGAGGGAGACACAGAATCTGAAACAGGCTCCAGGCTCTGAGCTACCTGTCAGCACAGAGCCCGATGTGGGGCTCGAACCCACAAACCGTGAGATCAAGACCTGAGCTGAAGTCAGACGCATAACTGACTGAGCCACCCAGGCACCTCTTGAATCATATATATTATTAATTTAAGCTCCTTTGACTAGAAAGACCATTTATTTGGTACTGTATGTATCCCCACTTGTGACAATGGATAAATCTCACCACAACTGTAAATAGTATTCAAGATTAAAAGGAAGATTTTTTTAGGGGAGAGAGAATTTAAAAGATCATACTGACAGAGTTCCAGCTATAATTCAACAAAACGTACACATTAACTAGTTCATAGCTATTTTAAGAATTAAAATTCCTAAATACCTTGAAGTTTTTAGGGGAAAATCTTGTTTAGCAGCAGATAACCAGTGACCATTAAAGGTATACCTAAACCTCATGTAATATAATCCTCTAAATCACAGAAAATTAGATACGACCCTCATCTATAGAGTTTCTTTAAAGAGTAACATATCACTATGTTTTAAGTTTCAGTCTATTTTTTAAAAATTTACAAATGCTAGTGTACTTTTTTCACAAACCAACATATAGCAATACTCTACCATTAGGTTATCTCTTTAGGTAATAG